TTCTTACGTCTTATTAACAAAAAACTACATCGAATGTCGTCTACCTTTAATCCGTTGCACCAGGTTGCAAATTTTCAAAGCAGGGCCCAATTTCAGACCCATGTACCTCATCATGGTATCGGGTGTGAGAAGCAAGAGTGCTTTTCCATCAATTTCCTATGGACACAAAAAAAATATTTTGATTAATTATGTTGTCTCAAAAAGGGACACCTGCTTGGCACTTACGTGTTTCCTGAAGAGATCTGCGTGGACTCCAAGACAGGGATCTGCGGATTCGATAAACTGAATCACCTCCTCGATGCCCCATTCTTGTGGCGGAGTCTTATTTAGCGACGACACTGGTGAATCGCTTAGAGGGGTGTCAGTAGGGGTGGTAGACGTGGCAGCTTCTTGTTCTGCCGGCGTCTTGCGCTTTGTAGGAGGCGGCCTGTTGTCACACATCACACACTCCCTTTTTATATGTTCTAGAGCTTGAAAAAGAAAGAAAAAGAATTAGATAACACCAACTAGCCTCACATACTCTAATGTTTTACCAAAAAGTTGCGAACAGCATCCCAAACTCGTCACTAAAGCGGTAAAAACACCTTCCAGGTCGCTTGCCTTTTGCAAACCCGGTAATTTAATGGTATACGAAGTACCCTCGTGCGTAACTACCATCTCTTCGCCCTGGAGACTGCCCAATCGTGCTAGGACAACGTCCGGCTTATTAGAAGCCCCCAGCAATTCAACGACAAGCTTCTTGGCCAAATCGACGGGACTGGTGTCTTCTATTATCAATGGCAACAGAGAAGAGTCTATCAAAGGTCCTCCCATGCAACTCTTGCGTAGATGAACCACGATCGGAGGCGGAGGTGGGGCTGATGTGTCCGCTTCTGGAGACTGGACATCAATCGTTGTACTCACTGTGTTATTAGTCGTGGCAGAGGCGGGAGTAGTCGTCGAGGGCAGGGAGAAGGTGCGTATCTTGAATCTGAGAAAAGTAGTCTTTAGAAAGAGTTGCAAAAGGAATGGAGCAGTGTTCCCGGTACCTGTTAGAACCTGTGCTGTTTTTCTGACCCGGTGGTTGTAAAGGGTGACCGCTTTTTGCCGACCAGCCTACAGGAAATATGTCGCGACTGTCGTAGCGGCACCAGTAGTCGAAGGCGCCCCTCCAACCGTCGAATGTGACGTGAATTTGATCTTGCTTGATGGCTCCAACTGTAAATATTAATGTACAAAATGCAAAAAGTTTTAAAAATCGTAATAAAAAGTAAAAACCTGTTGCACAGCAAATCAGCTGAGGATTTTTCTTATCTACGGCCTCCAATTTTTGCCCCACTTGGAAAAGATTCGTCCTGGGACCGGAGGGTTCCGACTGGAATATCTTTGAAGGGGCCATTTCAGCCCCGTTCAATGTTTTCAACAAAAACATTGGCCATGAACTTGCATTCATTCTGAACCCTAATAAAACAAAAAGCATCATCAATTTTTCATGTCACAAAGACAATGAGTGCTTTAGACTTCCTAGACTTTACTTACCAAGAGGTGGCTGCAGCATGCCCCCAGACTTTTCACAATGACCGATTGGATGAATTTCACTTGAATCCACCAATCTCCAAAAATCATTCTTATTGTCACTACCATCTAATCTTAAACGAAGTCTTGGTCCTAAGACACTAATCACAGTGGCTATGCAAGTAGAAGTTACATTGCGGGGATCCAATGCTTCCAGTTTCATTCCCACTTTGAAATCATTCTGTGGGGGATTCACTGCTTGTTTGAAACAATCAAGAGGTGCAGGAGAACTATTTGTCTGCTTCAAATATTCATCCCAGTTAAACGCCTGATAGGTTTCATACTAATAAATAAGAAAGTAAAAGATAAACATAACCTAGATACTTTAATGGAAGAAATCCCTTACCTGAAACGTATCAAAAGAACTTTCAATGAAATGGCCTGCTGTAGTAGGAGCTACAGAAGCAATTTTACTGTTTACCTCAGACTTCTTTTGATGCTTATTCATACAATAAGTTGAACAGTAATCCTTGTTTCCACTGCTGTTTGCTCGAATGACATTGTCGCAGTTTAGGCAGGCACCCTTCATGTAAGCTTTTCTGAATTCTGCCAAGCATGTCTCGGAACAGAATTCCTTTTTACCGCTTGTAGTGGGTAGCACATATTTGAGGGGTTGTTTTCCTTCGTTGCACCAAGTACAAGATACTGTCTTTTTGGGAGGTCTACCGGGTCCACGGATTTTTGCAGGAGCCATAGAATTATTGCTTGACATTGTCTTTTTTAATACGCAATCCATCTTTTAATTGTCATCAGTTTAAAAAAATACCTCCCTATATATAAACACTATAAAACGTTAATTTACACCGACCACTAAGAGACGTCAGTCAATAACCCCACCACAACATTATTATGAAATGTTGCGAACCATAGATAGTTGCCAACAGCAACAACAACCTTGAGAAATTAAATTAAAAAACATCTATTGAAAGTGTCAACAGTACCATACTTTATAAATTTATTTATAATAAATATGAATTATTACAAAATACAATTAAAAACTATTCAAAGACTGAGAAGTAATTACAGATTTTGTGTAAAGAAGATCCATATCAATTAACATCTTTTAAATACTTTATTTTAAAAAATTCAACATCAAAATCTGATTAAAATCTTATCAGCTCTTACTAAAATAATAAGCAAAGCTAATTACGTAAAGATGTTTTGAAGTAACCTGATAAATTAACAAGTTAAATTTATTTTATTCATTTTGGATTCTCACTTATCACCGTCACGTGGTTAAGTGACAACCGTCGTTTTTTGATTTATTTATAAGTGTTTCATTATCAGCTATCAGTCTAAATAAGTAATGGTGAAAAAGTAACGAAAATGATAAAAGCAGCCCAATTTGTGAGGATATTTACAATTACAGAAAAGGAAATAGAAGATTCATGACCAGAAAAGTCTAAAAATGTGATGAGATGAAGAAGGGTAGCTACAATTCGCAAGAAATTCGTCCACAAGAAGGTCAGGAACAGTTTCGAAAAATTTGTCGGTAAGTTTCAAAGGTCTTTCATGTTAGTTCTTTTAATTTACCAATAATTTGATATACATATGTAATAATTTTATGATATAAATCTACTCTAGAAAATGTTTTTATTGAAGTTAGGTTATGTTACCCAAATAACTTAAATTTTGAAAAAACACGTTTATATTAAAACCTTGGTCTTTTATAGAATCATAAGTGAGATAACCAAGCGATTGGATGATGCAAGAAGCCGTGCCCATGGTATCAAAGATCTTTTTACGCCAAGTCTGCATGTCCAAAGGAATAAGTTTCGCGACTACTGCGAACGGCTTATATTCATAGATCCAATACTATATGGTCGCAAAACTGAAGAACTACTGTGGCGCAAATGTTATTACGACGTCATATCGACGGCCAAAAAATTAAAACAGAAGGAATTTACATCCATTGAGACTTCTGCTATCGAGAGCCACATTCATGCTGGCATAGGACATTATGTTCACTTTATTAATGAACTACAATGTAGATATTCGATTGACTTCAAGGGTATAATCGATTTTGCCGTTTACTCAGAAATTTTGAAGCATAACAAGCAACAATTAGATTGCAATTTGAAGGAGTTCATTGAAGCATCATTACACCGTTGCTTAATTTATTTAGGAGACTTGAACCGGTACAAGCTGGACATTTATCCAAACCAAGATTGTAAAGTAACCATTCGTTATTATTTGCAAGCAGCTAATTTCAAACCAGAACTGGGAATTCCATACAATCAACTTGGCACTTTAGCTTCAAATCAAAATCAACTCCTTGATGCCGTTTATTACTATTTAAGGGGTTTGAATGCACCCATTTCGTTTGAGGGGACTGAAAAGAACTTGATGAACTTGTTTGAAAAGAACACCACGTCTTGTATCGAGTCTGAAGCCAAAAATGACGAAACCAGTGTAGAAAAAAGTGATAGTATGAAAAAATTTATTTCCCAATTTCTTTTGCTCGTTGATTCCTGGATTTTCAACAAAAACTTGCCTAATATTTACCAGCTGTGTCATCAGTTGAATATCGATATTCAGGAGTGCCTGCTGTATCCAAAAATAATTAAAAACAAACCAGAAGAAGAGACAGCAACTTCAGAAGACGATTCAATGTACCCCTCCTATCAGAAAAACGACGACATACTCCTTAAAATGGTCATCCTGTGTCTTATGTCAATTTCCAAGTTGCAAAAGACACATTCGCAACAAATTTCAGTCGCTGTCGCCTTCACATTAGCAATTTATTCACAACTGAATCAAACTATACTGAAATACATTAAAGAAAACGTTGCAAATCTACCTGAGCCGTCTGAGAGTCGCTGTGAGTCACGTAATGGGGTCAGAAAGTGCAAGATAACTCTAAGAAGACGTAGGAAGAAACAGACAGCTTGTGACGACGATTCTGACCAGAGTGATGTAGAAATTTACGACGAAATCAGCGATTTGGGGTCAGAATTATCTTACAATGGTTCAGAAGACGAAGAACTGTTCTCAAGTCTTTCCGACGAAGCCTCAGACGAAGAAGAGGGCGAAGAAGGAACCGATGTCAAGAATAGGAAAGATGTTGATACCCCAACATCAGGAAACAGCCAAAAACAACTCAACGAAGATATAAATGGTATAACAGAGAATAAAACAACACCAGAGAACAACACTCATGTCGTCGACAACTACACTTTTATCATGGATTATTTGTCGAAAAAACAGTCTATAGATCTCAGAGTATTCTTGGACATTCTGGCTGAGAGGAAACTTCTGAGTTGCATTAAAGTTTTAACTGACTGGCTCGTATCCGATGTGGACATCCTCAAGACCTGCGGCAAAAACACTAGATCCCTGCTAGAACAAATGATCCAACTTATGAACGTACTTAACGCCGTCTTGGACAACCCCAAGCTTGAAAAAGAAACCAAAATTAATTTGGACGAAGTCAAAGCGGACTGCAAAAAAATGCCGCTCCCAGAAGATACCCTTTTAAAGGGCACAGAAATTCTGTGGCACGCGCACAAAGATTTGGAATGGAATTATTTCAACACCCTACTTTTCACCAAAGATGAAATAGTCATTAGAATTGCTAAGTTGGTATCGTATGGGCGTCAAATTGCCGAAATACAAGAACTAGGGATTAGTTATGAAGAAGACAAAAAGATCTTTGTCGTTTCACCAGAAGACAACAAGAATACAATAAATTTGAATTCTCACGTAAGATTTAATTAATAAAAATTAATATAAAAATCATTCTAATTTCAATTACAGGAGTCGTCAGAACAACAGGACAAGAACTGCGTGTCTCCAGAGCTATTGTCCATTAAGAAATACAGTCCTGTTAATGGTTTGGAGCCAAAAGGACAATTAATGAAGATGAAGCACATGGGACAACTGTGGTTGGCCGCCGAGGTGCGCGCTTTAGAAAGCAGGGTCAGAGGGCGTACCGCCTTCAGCCCCTACCTCGTCCTAGACACAGATGCCCTAATAAAGTACACTTTTATGGTTAAGCACTTGGTTAGCTCGAAAAAGTTCATAGTTTTAGTTCCTTCAGCAGGTAAATAAACCATTTGCACGTTTAAATTAATTTTAACTAATATTTGTTTGATTAGTTGTTTCAGCCCTGGACGACTTAAAACGTGAAAAGACCGAAGCCCGAGACGCAATTCGTTGGTTGGAGTCACAGTTTCACCAAGGGAATCGTTTTTTCCGAGCGCAGAGGCCGCAGGAGAAGGCTCCGTTGCCCCTCATTAAATATCCAAAGAAAAAGGACAAGGATGTAGTTCTGTACATTCAAATTATAGAATGTTGCCACTATTTGGTTCAACAACAGAAAGCGGATAATCTGGTTACTCTTTTAGTGGGCAACAGGAACATTTTAACGAATTGGGATAACAAGGAATTGAGTTTCACTGGTCTAGTGCAATCGGCTGGAATTAATATGGAACTGATAACAAAATTCTATGGAAAATGGAAGAAAAACTACAGGACTAAAAGATGAAATCAACTGAATAAGAAATAAGTCGATGATAATGAGATAATTTGCATTCCTTTGGAATATAATAATACATTAAAAAAGGTAATTATTAACAAGAACATATGACAAAAGTAGACCCATCATGCAGGCTACAATTAAACAAACTATTGTATCGAGAACTGTAATTAATTTTAAACTTGACCTTCATCATGTTAGTTAACAAAATTGATGTTTTTTTTTTTTAATATTATAATGGGTTAATATCAATAAAGATACTTAATAGCACTACTTTGTTATTATTTGTCATATATTATTCTCCATTTAAAACTTACTAGAAATATAAAATTGCTTTTTAAATCGTTGAGTATCAATAATGAAACGTTCTCTTAAAAAAAAAAAGAAACCTTTATTTTTTTACAAAAGAAATAAACGTTTACAAGGAGCTTGTAAGATAGAAGGGACGTGAGAGAAAATGTACACATCGATGTGGTGTTTTCTTCCGGGTTTTTTGGCCGTGGTCCGTGGAATTTTACTTTTCCAAACGTTTCGCCGTTCTTTGCTGACGGCATCTTCAGTGGGGACTGGGCAGGTACTAAGTCGTAACTGATCACCTGCCCAGTGCTAAGTCGTAACAGATCACCTGTCCAGTGCTAAGTCGTAACTGATCACCTGCCCAGTGCTAAGTCGTAACTGATCACCTGCCCAGAGCTAAGTCGTAACTGATCACCTGTCCAGTCGCCACTGAAGATGCTGTCAGCAAACAACGGCGAAACGTTTGGAAAAGTAAAATTCCACGGACCACGCCCAAAAGACCCGGAAGAAAACACCGCAAAGATATATGCCGGTCGTGAAAGGCCAAGAACTACAAAATATACACAATCTTAATTTAACAGCTATTAGCACGTTTTATACGTACACGTATAAATAATAGATAAATCAATTATTAAAACTGGGATAGTTTTACGTTTTTTTTTTTATTTTATAAGTAGATTAATTTTAAAAGCAATATTTACACACAATGTTCTGTTATCACATGAGAAAATATTTCTCAAAACCCCCTAACACTTTTTTTTGTAAACCATCCCAGTAATAAGTATTTTACATAATTATAAATATGACAAACTTACTCTACAATTTCGATTCTCATCTTCTTGGTTTTTTGTACATTATTTGTAGTAGATTTTTCTTGTTGCTTAAGAAGCTGCTCCATTTTCTTTTCACGTGCTGTCTTCTTTAAGCCTTTCATTTTCCTTGTTTGTATCTTGTAAATTTCTTGCTTGCCAATGTGAATTCTGCCTTTGGTGTTACCCAGTGCATCTTTATCAATATTCTTTTTCTTTATAACTTTAAGTTCCTTTGGTTTCTTACATGCCTGCTTCATTAGGTCTTCAGAGGGCAATTTACTCCTTCTCAGGGACATGTCGAACCTTGGTCCTAAACATACATATGATTAAGTAGTATAGACAACACTCTAAATAAATTTCTTAAAAGCTTACCAATTTCTTCAAGTTCGATTCTGGGTGTCCTCAATCCCGATTTCTTAAGAAGCACTTTATATGATCTGACTGCAATTTTACCTTCTGGAGTGACAGTGAAACTAATGGCATGTTCCAAACCTTGAAGGCTCAATTGTTCTACATGTTCTTTATGGAAAAGATCCACAAAAATAGATTTTAACTGTTTGAGTTCGTCAGATTGATCCCAAGGACCGTTAAATATTAAACACGGCTTAACACCTAATGTAACTTTAGCTCCAGCAAAGTCTTTTAAACCTTCATAAGTGTCTATACCTAATTCTACCATATCTAACAAAGAATAGTTGAACATACGACCGAACACTACGTTATTAGGTCTCTTTTTTGAATGAGAACCCATTGCAAACAAGGGCGTCTCATATTTTTTACAAATAGCTTCCACTGGCGTCACATTTTCGAAAACTGTGATGTTATTCTTTTTGTTTAAAAATATTGCATCTGGTTTCTTTAGAACGTAAAGATCTTTAAGCAAATTCCGCACTAATTCAGATGTTTTGCGGCCCCAAAAGAATGCAGCACGTTTGGGGCCCTCAACCAGCTGAGGCTCTCTTGACGTAAGAACTTTTTTACCTTTTCGTGTGGTCGCTTTCCTAGAAAATAAGCACAGAATTACATTAATACAATTGCCACAGTGCCTTTTTGCGATTTACTTACACCACACGTTTAATAACAGACATTTTATACTCGTTTTTGGCACTTCTTTTATAACCAAAATACGAAAACAACACGTGTCTCCTAACCTTAAAATCAAGAATGTCAATCATAGATTATAGATGTCAATGCCAAATCAGAGAGTCAATATTAGGAAATAAATTTAATTTTTACATCATTTTATTACTTAATTAATAAAAATAAGACCAATTTTGATATAATTTATTAAAAAAGGCAGTTAATAATTTGGTAAATTTATTTTTATATTAAATTGACTGTTTAAAATTAGTATCATAGGTAATTAGTATTTTCTGATTGGTACCTACTGGTTGAATTCATTAGTGGCGCAAAATTTGATTCAAATGTGTGTTCAAGTCTTCACTTCAGGGAGTTTTATTTTTTCTGTATAATCAAAATAATCAATTATCAACAACGATTTATTTAAAAAAGTTACATAAACGTTTCGTAAATATATTAATATGAGTTAGATATTTCATAAATAACACAAATTTACAATAATAAATACATATTGTCCTCAACCACATAATATAGAGGTTAAAAAATACTGTTTATTTTATATAATATCATAAAATGGAATGTAAATTATACATCAATAATAGAAATAAACTAAAATATAACCGATATTGTACAATTTGAACATTATTAACAGCTAAATATTAGTCAACATTAAAAATAACGATGGTTAGGCACAACTTTTAAAATGGCTCGCGAAATGCAATAAAAAAATACATACAATATTTATGAATCGTGAACAGATAATTTAGTGAAAATGTTGCGATACAATTAACGTATAACATGGACCGGTAACGTAGAATTTTTCGCCATTATTCGTAACAGAATTTTTTCCTCCAAGTCTTTGGTAACTTCGTGCCAAACGCATTTCCCTATAATCGGGGCCTCTTCAAGGGGAGATTTAAAGACAACCAACAAAGACAAACATGCACCATCGGCGCCTTCTTTACCACCATGCTCCACCTAGTTAAAATAGATATAAAACACACTCTGAAAGATTAGAGCCGATAAGAGCATGAAAATGGTCCCCATAATAATGAGTATAACTTCACCAAAAATTAGGAATTCAATAAGTTATCTAAAAAAATTTTTATTGTTCTTTGAACTTAATATAATAAATCATAACGTTTAGGATTAGTTACTCTTCTATTGTAGACAAACTTAGACATTTTTTTGACCACCAAAATAATCATAATTAATTACTAAAATGATCTTAAATATTATGAATTATTAGAATATGTATATGGAGGTCATTTTCGTACTCTTATCGATCTCACTTCCTCGAAAACTTACATTTAAAAGACCGTGAGGTCTGTGAGGGGCCACTTCGGCCCCAAATATCTCAATCATAAACCTTCTTAGCGTAGAATAAATCGATTTCGCAGGGTGAACTTCACAGGTGGGCAAATGAAATGTGGTGCGTTCGCTTAAAAGTACATGGAGGCGATTTGAGGACCTTTTTTTGGTTACCACTAGCAATCTCAAAAGTAACTTGGTGTGAGGCTTCAAGAGGGGCAACTGGTCCTTATGCCACGTCTTGTCTTTCAAAGAACGGGCCTGCTTGTACTGTCTATTAAAAAAAAAAGATAAATATTAAAACGTCTCTCCTAACAATCATATAAGTAAATCTTAAATATGTATTCCATAATTTTCATGTTAAAGACTAATAATCAGCAAATGTGTTATTGAAATAATCAATGTTAAAAAAAATGGTCAAGGGTCCCAACTTGAATCAAACACCATCTTATCATTCTGAAAAAAATATGTATGGGAGCATTAAAAAATTATCTATGAATTAAATCAAAGTAAAAAAAAGTGGTCTTAAATAAAAAGGGCGTTCAAAATTAACTTATCATTCATTAATTAAAGTGACATGTGCGACTTATTTCGTGTTTAAAAATGGATTTTGCTGCTCAAGAACTGGCAAGTAAAGACTCCACATTTTGGGTAAGACAGAAAGATTGATTTTAAAAGTTTAAAAAACTTTTTCTATGCAAAATAAATACCTACAGAACAATGCAGACTTGTGGAGGCAGTTTATCCAGTATGAGGAGGACTTTAAGAAAGTTATAAAACAACGCGAAATGCAAAGGATTCCGTTCCACCACCAGTCCCCTCAAGTATGTAGAAACAATGAAAAAAAAAATGACAATATTTACAGAAAAAAAATAAACGTTTTAGATACTGTTTCGTAATGAACTTATCGCGTATTTAAAACAGACGGCAACGCAAAAGAAAATGAGCCATTCTTGTTTACATTTAGCAGTCTATTTACTTGATATTTTTATGGATAATCACGACATTGTACCGCATTATCTTCAACTTGTATGCAACGTTTGTCTACTAATTGCAGGTTTGAAAAAAATTATATTTTACAAACATTTACCACACAATTTTAGTATTTAATAAATAGAGACTAACAATTATAAAACATTCAAATTCGTAAGTCGAGATTCTCAAGTTTTCTTTTAGTTACCAAATTAATAATTACATACTTTATTGAAATCACTGCAATTGGTGCATAAGAAAATAATATTCTATTTATATTGTACTATTATAATGTTAGAGATGTTTATCCTAAAAATGTGAGTGAGATTCATTATGCTTATCGTCCCTACGTTTTACTCTCAGCGAAATTCGAAGAATGTGCTCAAAAAATCCCCAAAATCGCCGACATGAACGCTTTAGTAAAAAATCGTTACTCTAGACAAGAATACAAATCAGTAGAGATATTGATACTGAATTTTTTCTTTGGATACATCATGTTTCCCACTGCTGCACATTACACGTACTATTATATGCAGGCCTTGATCAGTCCTGAAGATATGCAATATTTCTCAGGGAATTCCAGGGAATTACTCTTTGAACTTAATGAATCTATCAAGATTTATTTGGAATGTACAATAGACGGTAGGTAAAGTTTATGAAGTAAATTCAGCCAATACACATAGGTAAACTTAAAATTTTCAGATATTCATTTTATGCAATTGTACCCCCCTTCCCAGTTGGCAGCTTCAATCCTGAGTGCTGCCAGGACCAAAGTGGGACTACCTTGTTGGACTCCTGCTTTAGAAAACTTAACAGAGTACAGATGGGAACAGTTACAGCATAGTCTTACAGATATATTAAAGTAGGTTTAAAGGAACTGTTAAATCCCTAAAAGTAAACTAATATTTATTGTAGGGGCCAAACATCAGGTTGTATTCACTGTGAAGAGTTCAAATCTGCTTAAGTAAAATAGCTGTTACTTAAAACACTTTTAGAGTAATTATTAAGTTTTGTTTACCCATTGGACCTTTTTAGTATAAAAATAAATTAGTTCTTAAGAGAAGTTCTAAGCTTACTTGGCTCTATCAATGAGATGTTTGATGTCTTTAGCTCTTAGGGTGACTTCATCCAGATTTGCAATCCATTTTGCTTGTAAAGATTCCTTGTCAGCCTGTGAAGGTGTTTTTAGTGTCCCATCTATCACTATGCCAGTTAAAACAAAGCGTATCCATGAGCCTCCTGCACATTCAACAAGTAATAATGTAGTGCAGTCTATTAAGAGACCTGTCTCTTCTCTGACTTCCCTTTTGGCTGCCTCAATTATGGACTCATTTTTTTCCATTCGACCTGCAGGCAAATACCTACAGAGACTTAAAAAATGATACTACACAGGTGTAATAAACTCACCATTTTCCAGCACAAGACTGTTTAGCTTCTTGCATCATTAAAATTTCGTCTGCATCGTTCAAAATAACGGTGGCAACAATATAAGTGATGGTTTCTCCAACGATGGGTTTGTAATTTGGATTAACTGTTGGAGCTACTCCTTGAGACTCCATCACTGAAATTTGTTCCTCTAAAGTAAAATCGCATATTTCGTCGTCGTCAAAGTCCAAGGCAAGCCCCTTAAGCACTTTTTCCACAGCTATTTCAACAGAATCTGGCATCTTTAATTTGGACCTTGTTAAAAAACACAAGCGTATTAATATTCAGTTTACTTAAATGACGATTAAAAGCACTTCATTGAAATTTTCATTTATTGCACAGTTCACAAATAAAATTACGTAGAAATAACACTCAAATGAAAGTTACAAATCTAAAACAATTGTCTTGAATGAAATTAATTTCCATTTTCTAACCCTAAAGCAAACTTGACGTAATAGATTATGGACAAGTTGTTGTCCCAGCATTTTGTTAATTAATGACTAATTACGCAAAGCACAACCACACCTTTAATTTTGTGGTTTCATTTTTCAAATTTAACGTATTACTGACAAGCACAACGCGAAAGCTATTTTTAAACTTTTTGTTGACCTTGTTATTATTTATTTTTGTTATTAAACTATAAAAAAAATAGCGAAATATACGTACGTTTTTTATTTCCTTTCTATGAAGTAACATACTGGTTTCACTCGCGTAAGGAATGAAGACATTAGAAAGAAAGTAAATTGTTTCAATTTAATTCAACTTCATATTTTATACATAAATATATAGTTCAATAGGTTGTCCGTCTACTTTTTGTGATAGTTCATTAGTAGCTTCTTTGTGACCTTCGTTCTAACCTAAAATTTTTGACGTTTGTGAAAATAAGCCAGTGAAATTTGAATTTATAAGAAAAAAGTCAAAAAATAAACAAATTTTGATGTTGACAGCTTCGTCAGTTATCAGTTTTTCAGGTTTATCTCATAATCAGTGCAGCTAGTTTCGTTTTGTATTGTTTGAAAAGCCATGAATAGCACTTTCGAGACTGTTGATCTGCCAGTAATGTATCGTTTTTGTAGAACTTGAAAAAAGAACCTGAAAAATGAGGAGATCTGAGGATTATCAGAATCATATTATGGTTCTTCGTAACAGGGAAATTAGAGGATCGTACAGGAATTATTTGAAAAAGAAATTCCACTTCAATGAATCTTTGATTAGCAGGTTAGGTTTAGAGAAAGAACTAGAAGGGCATCAAGGTTGTGTGAATTGTCTGCAATGGTCGTCAGATGGAAGGTAAATTCTTATATTTCAAATTTATAGTTATATTTATTTGCTTATTACAAGCTGATAATTATAGGATATTGGCATCAGGCTCCGATGACACCAATGTGATGATTTGGGATCCTTTCACACACAAGCATCTAAAAACAGTACCCACACCTCATATTGGCAATATATTCTCTGTCAAGGTAACTTGATCATAGTTCTTAAATAGCTTACTGGAAATTCAAAATTGAAACTGTTTTCTTTTGAAAGCTTCTAGGCAGTGACGAGTCCTTGGTTGCAACAGCAGCTGGTGACTGTAGGGTGATGGTACAGGCCATGGAGCAGGCCTTTATGAGGCAAACACCTCATTTAGACTGTGGTTGTCATGTAGGTAGAGTTAAAAGACTTGCCAGGGCTCCTGACCAACCTCTCCTGTTTTGGTCCGGTGGAGAAGATGGACTCTCCATGTAACTGCCCCTCTTTTGCCCGAATTTATATTATTAAACGTGTGTCTTTTTAGTCAGTATGATATGAGGGAGCCTCATGAATGTTTGGCCAGAAGCAAGGTGTTTATAGACTTGAGTTACACACGAGAGATTAAATGCATAGCTGTCAATCCTACAAAGCCCTATTTGATCGCTATTGGGGCAAACGATTGTTTTGTAAGACTCTTTGACAGAAGGATGGTCAGAACGAACCAGTACAGGGTAATTGTTAATTAAAACTGACTTCTTTCAGTACTTTTTGCATATATGACTATTGTAGCCTAATCACACGTACGATTCTCGAAAACGTGCGCCCTCTCAGGTGCACGATCCCAATTGCGTGGAGTTCTATGCGCCAGGACACCTTTCGAAAGAGGAGTCTGGAATCTACGACGCAGGAAGTTCGGACGACGATGATGATATGAGAAACAACTTGTCTACCACCTATATCGATTTTAATAGCGCCGGTACTGAAATGTTGGTCAATATGGGGGGTGAACAGATTTATTTGTTCGACTTGAACCGCCCCAGGAGCCCAAAGGAGCTTCGGGTACCCGACTATGCCCTCAAAGCTTGTAAAAACGTTTCAAACAAGAGCTGCTGCTGTAGAGTAAGGAGTTTGGGTTTTATGTTCAAAATAATTGGTTTCTATAAGAAAATTTTTTTCAGAATGGAATTTCTGTAAAGATGAAAAATATAGATAGCTACAATAAGCGTATTAGTAAACAACCATGTGCCTGTGATTATCTAAATAGAGCAAAAATATTTTTTCAAAGAAAATGGTAAGTCCCTACTTACTTTTTAATAACAAATTAACACCAGTTTTATTTTTCTAAGGGCTGTGGAATCAATAAGACACTTATTTTGCTTCCTAAAGTCTATGACTTTTATTTTCGGGGCTGTGGAAGCAATAAAACATTTATTTTATTCTCTAGTGTATACAATTTTTATTTTTAAGGATTGGAGACGTCTATTGCGCTGCCCGAGACTATCTTCAGGTAATCGAGATGTGTCCAGATAGATTGGAGGCTTATATCGGTCTTGTGAACTGTTTCCTGTCCCTCAAGTGGTTGGATGAGGCTATTGCATGGCTCCTCTATGTAAAAGATATGAAACCGGACCTGGCCAACGACGAGGAGTTCAAAGCTCTGCACACAGAAGTGGTCACCCTAAAAAATAACTTTAAAAGGAAGGAAGAGGGTGACAAATACTTTAAGAACTTTAAAAAGATAGGGAGCAGGGAAATGGCGTTAAAGACAAACGCTAAGGACTTTGAACTTCGTTTCCTGGGACATTGCAATACTACAACTGATATTAAAGAAGCAAGCTTTTTGGGTGAGCTGGAGAGATGTGTTTCCTCTCCGTAATTCCAAATAAAACGGAGTTTATTTTAATTTCTCAATTATTTGGTTTGTTTAGGAGAGGATGGGAATTACATTTGTTCTGGTTCGGACGACGGGATTATTTTTATATGGAATAAAAAGACGACAAACCTGGTAAACGCACTTTGGGGAGATGTCTCCATAGTCAATTGTGTCCAGCCTCATCCTAGTTCTTGTCTCATAGCTTCGAGCGGCATTGATTCTGTAGTTAAGCTATGGTCGCCATCTGGAGAGGTGATTCCCTATTTGATTTTTACTTATGTATAAGGGTTGTTTTTGTAATAATCTTTATATTAATTTTAGGATGAAGCAGAGACAAACACACGTGTCGTTAAGGATCTTTGGCTGGCAGTGGAAGCAAATCAGCAGAGGATGACCAAAGACCCTTTTGAGATAATGCTGACCAACATAGGATATCGTATGAGTCCCGCGGAGGGTCAGGGGATGCCCACCTGTCGAACCACTTAACACTAACTGCTGATAAATACTGCGAAAAAGAATATTTTTTAATTTAGTTACGTTATCCTTTTTTTATTGTTGTTATCTTCGTCAATTTCTTCACGTATTTAATAAAGACAGCAAAAAACAATAGTTTTTAGTTGCGTACCTTACAATTATTTTTATACACATAAGCAAGCATATACATATAAAAGAACATATTACCATGTTTATTTTTTCTGTTTTAGGTTTTTAAGTGCACGTTGATAATAATTATACGATACTTACTGTTGTTGCCGTCATTTTTTTTTTTCTTTTTTGAATTAGGAATCTATTAAGACTTGCGTGCCTAATGCCAGATTTCTTTTGTCTTTAATTCTTTCATTTGTTTAGAATATTTTTTCATTTCTAAAACTTTTTGATTGTGCCTCGTATTTAGTTGTAAGTTATACAGCCCGCTGTAATTAATTAATTGCTGTTTAATTAACGTCATTAGATTTAACCAATGTAAATAACGATCCTGTTGTTAACGTAAAATAATATTTAGGTAATATTTTGCTCATGTGATTTGAACTACAGTTACTGTAAATATTTCAGATTAATAAAAATTTTAAATGGGTGCTAAATACTTTTTTTGTTTATTTCTTGCCTAATAGTTCCCTTTTTTCAATTTTGAGAGGAATAATAGTAATTTATTAAGCTTTAAATTGCATACATTCATTACAAATATTCAAATTTTTTTTTTTTGTAGTTATAATTTTATTNGATTCTAAATTGTTTTTTCTCTTAAAACCATTTGAAAAAACGAATAAGAAAATATGTAATTGTCGTCGCGTAGTTTTAATGGTGTTATAAAGTTTCAGGGAGATGTTACCAGCAATTTCTCTAAATCCAAATTAAAATACATGTACATAGACAAGATATCTTTGACTTTGAGCGGTTTTAATGCGTATTTTTTAATACGATTACGATTCGAAAAACTTTTTCTACTATTGAACTCTGTAGCAAAGCGGATAACTGGATGTTTTACGAGTGAATTATATTCAATTATAGAATGCTCGGTAATTTGACTTCTTTGTGGGGAAAAAGAACACTGGGCTGATTCTAAACGGTTTTTTCTCTTAAAACCATTTGAAAAAACGAACAAGAAAATCTGTAATTGTCGTCGCGTAGTTTTAATGGTGTTATAAAGTTTCAGGGAGATGTTACCAGCAATTTCTCTAAATCCAAATTAAAATACATGTACATAGACAAGATATCTTTGACTTTGAGCGGTTTTAATGCGTATTTTTTAATACGATTACGATTCGAAAAACTTTTTCTACTATTGAACTCAGTAGCAAAGCGGATAACTGGATGTTTTACGAGTGAATTATATTCAATTATAGAGTGCTGGGTAATTTGACTTCTTTGTGGGGAAAAAGAACACTGGGCTGATTCTAAATTGTTTTTTCTCTTAAAACCATTTGAAAAAACGAATAAGAAAATATGTAATTGTCGTCGCGTAGTTTTAATGGTGTTATAAAGTTTCAGGGAGATGTTACCAGCAATTTCTCTAAATCCAAATTAAAATACATGTACATAGACAAGATATCTTTGACTTTGAGCGGTTTTAATGCGTATTTTTTAATACGATTACGATTCGAAAAACTTTTTCTACTATTGAACTCAGTAGCAAAGCGGATAACTGGATGTTTTACGAGTGAATTATATTCAATTATAGAGTGCTGGGTAATTTGACTTCTTTGTGGGGAAAAAGAACACTGGGCTGATTCTAAATTGTTTTTTCTCTTAAAACCATTTGAAAAAACGAATAAGAAAATATGTAATTGTCGTCGCGTAGTTTTAATGGTGTTATAAAGTTTCAGGGAGATGTTACCAGCAATTTCTCTAAATCTAAATTAAAATACATGTACATAGACAAGATATCTTTGACTTTGAGCGGTTTTAATGCGTATTTTTTAATACGATTAAGATTCGAAAAACTTTTTCTACTATTGAACTCAGTAGCAAAGCGGATAACTGGATGTTTTACGAGTGAATTATATTCAATTATAGAATGCTCGATGGTTTGACTTTATTATGGGAAAAAGAACACTGGACCGATTCTAAACGCTTTTGTCTCTTAAATGCATTTGAAAAAACGAACCTGAAAATTCATAATTGTCGTCACGTAGTTCTAATGGCGCTATAAACTTTCCATAAACGACATGACCAGTCTGTACGTCCGCATCTAGTAGCTCAAGTCGGAGGCAGTTACGACAAAAAGGAACGAATAGATACGACGGGTTCGCGGTATCCGATCAAGAAAAGGCATTTGCATAAGTATGCGATCTTGCAGATCGTAAACGTAGGTACCTATATATGAAGTCTCTCTGAAGGTACAGAGGAAAAATGCGCGTTTTTCAAACCGAGAGTGGCCAAACCAGATCCGGTCGTAATGAAAGGGTAATTACCGGACGCCGAGTTAGTAGTTGTTGCATCGCGATGGCAACAAGCTCATGTACGTTTCATGTATGTATGTGCATTGCGGGAACGGTTTTTGTTGCCGCCATAGCCGCAGCCATCGTTGCATTTCTGCGAAAGCAAAAAACCATCTCGCCATCTCGATCTGAAGAACTGATGAACCGGTGGATTGCGGTGCATCGAACGCACAACCCGAGTTCCTTTTAGATTGCAACGTTGTCGAACGGCCACCTTTGGTTTTTTTCTTCTGGTCGAAGACCGTTCGCGCCACTAGAAACTCTCAAACTGACCGTTCTCGTTGCTATGAATCGTCTCTCTCAATCGTCAATACGACATTTAAGTTTGATTCTGTTTCCCCAAAAGAAATAGCCATTTCGCAAAAGCGCCAGAAACCTCTGGCAAATACAGATTGATCGTAGTAAACTGCGACAACATCTTTCGCCATCTTGAACACAATATTTAACGTTAATTTTACCATTCCAAATGTTCCCAAACATTCTAGTAGCTTCTGAATTAAATTACGTACGATATTATTTAATCTTAAACGTAATATTGAATTTTATTTTTACCTCCCCAAACGAAATGGTCACTTGCCAGAAACCTCTGACTGATCGTTTGATGTACCATTAAGCTACAAATCATATTTCTCGACCTTAAACGCAATATTTACCATTATTTTTACCTTGTTTGTAAAGGAATTCTACCTTTCCTCATTGAAATTGCAGGATTGCGCTTTTTACCAAAAAATGGCACCTAATCTTTGCAAAAGTGAAAGAAACATACGATCGGAGTAAGTTAATCTTCTTACTTAGTAGTTACGCACTTTTTTACCTTCAAAGGGGGTCCATCTTCATTTTGTTGATATGCCCTCGAGGCCAAGGAACTCCTCAACCGTTGGCGATTTATTTCATACGCCAACGGTGGTGGAGTTACCACTCCTCAATGTAGCGAAATTTTCTTGCAAGAACCTGTACATGTAAAAGAAATAATTATGTTTTACCTCACAATTAATCTTTAATTAGTTCGCCACTTAATTAAACAAAATAAGTATTGGGTAAATAGTTCGTACGACCCTTTCGACTTTACTTTATTTGTAATGTGTTGTTTAGAAACTAGAAACTGTAGCGGATGCTATGACTATTATAGTACACATGCAGAGGAAGTGTCATAATAGTTGTAGCAATGCTATTACGAGAATGTAAAGGTAAGCGAGCTAGAAACTTTCAGAAGTCACGGCCAAGGTGTAGTTAGTGCGTCTACCAGCTAATGAGAATGTTAAGTTCAGGTACGAATTCGTAGGAGATGGTAGCCAAAGAAGCCAGCATGTCGAATCTATTGCGTCTGAGTTATTTTTATCCTGACAGTATGAACCGTATGAAACATTAAAGTGAAACAATTGAAAAATGAAGGCCGCCATTACATTTTTACGAATCGAAATAATTGATGCATTGTTGGGAAAAGAAACAATTGAAAAGTATGCCGCCATTACTTTCTTGCGAGAGAAGTAGCCAATAGTAGGACGCTCAGAAGCGGCCATTATCTTCTTGAGCATTGTTATAAAAAGTAACAATCGAAAGTCGAGGGCCGCCATTACGAAGATCCGTGAGAATTTCAGAGTTACACGTGGGATTGCGTTGAATAATTGGAGATGTACATATATAACAAACAAATTCACGGATGTGTCTTGACTTTTAAGTTCCTTTATTGTTTTCATACGTGGTAACGGAAATGACTACAAATTCACGTGATTTAACTATTCAATGTTCGTGAAAACTATTTAATGGAACGAACGTTTATTATTAAGATTTTAACAAATATGTCTAAGTTATAGGGATTATTAAAATGTTCAGAAAAAAAATGCCTTTCATTCATTGGGGTCTTTGAAACCGACGCCGGAGTGCATTAACCCCGCAGCTTATTCTCTAACGTCCACATTTAGCCTTGGGTCGGTCTGACAACTATCTTTGATTACCATTAGCATGAAGGAGCACCAATCTGCATATATACACACACCAAATACATATACGTACATATATATATATAAAAATATATTTAATATGTAAATAGAAGGTGTGCCCGTTAGTGTGTCCACACTCAGCCAGTCTCAAATGAATTTAATGAATTATTTGTCAAACAACTGCCCACTAATGGGACCGGTACCAGTTACCGGAAACCATTTGTTTGTTTTACTCACTTGTTTCGCAACTGACTGTAGATACATGCATTTATTTTTTTCCATCTTCTTCGGTAAATATCAGAAAGTAAGCGCGACAATCTTTTGTGGCAAGTTTAATAATCCTGGGATAGATTTAGAACCGATAATCCTCGGCTACTTTGCCATTTTTCTTTTTTAATTTTTGGACGAACAAACTGATCTACACGAAAATGTAGAAAATTTTCATCGACAGACGCGCGAAGTAACTTGAGAATGTTGAATAAATAATAGATAAACGTTTTAGATAAAGGAATTTTATAGAAGACGAGCGAGAGATCGATTTAGGTACCCATGTATGTAGGTGTAGAGTAAATAATGATGTTTAGCACTCTCAGGTCTGCGTCCATCAAGGTTACTTAGACAAAATGAACAACCGAAAATTATTATTTATAGTGCCCAGGTCGTCCTTCATCGAAATTTCCGTGAAATGTTATTGCCCTTAGTCTAAACCACGTGCATTACATACACTCAGACATTCACATGTACAAATGTACATGTTTCAACGTCATCCTCATCATGACCGTTCAATTTTTTCCGGATCATACATATACAGGATGATTCAAACCGTAATTGTCCTCATACTTACTCACATTAATTCCTTGGAAGAATAATAGGCGGCCATTACCTTTTGAGCATTGTTTTGAGTAGCGGCCATTACTGTCTGAGACATTGTTGTATGAAGAGCGGCCACTATCTTTTGAGCATTATTGAGAAAAGAAACAATTGGTAGACGAGTAGCGGCCATTACTGTTTGAGACATTGTTACCCAAAGAAACAGTTGGCAGATGAAGAGCGGCCATTATCTTTTGAGCATTGTTGGGAAAAGAAACAATTGGTGTAGGAGTAGCGGCTATTACTGTCTGAGAAATTGTTGTATGAAGAGCGGCCATTATCTTTTAAGCATTGTTGGGAAATTAAACAATTGGTAGACGACCAGCGGCCATTACTGTTTGAGACATTGTTACCCAAAGAAACAGTTGGCAGATGAAGAGCGGCCATTATCTTTTGAGCATTGTTGGGAAAAGAAATGACTGGCGCAGGAGTAGCGGCCATTACTGTCTGAGACATTGTTGTATGAAGGGTGGCCATTATCTTTTGAGCATTGTTGGGAAAAGAAACAATTAGTGTAGGAGTAGCGGCCATTACTGTCTGAGACATTGTTGTATGAAGNAAGTCCCTACTTACTTTTTAATAACAAATTAACACCAGTTTTATTTTTCTAAGGGCTGTGGAATCAATAAGACACTTATTTTGCTTCCTAAAGTCTATGACTTTTATTTTCGGGGCTGTGGAAGCAATAAAACATTTATTTTATTCTCTAGTGTATACAATTTTTATTTTTAAGGATTGGAGACGTCTATTGCGCTGCCCGAGACTATCTTCAGGTAATCGAGATGTGTCCAGATAGATTGGAGGCTTATATCGGTCTTGTGAACTGTTTCCTGTCCCTCAAGTGGTTGGATGAGGCTATTGCATGGCTCCTCTATGTAAAAGATATGAAACCGGACCTGGCCAACGACGAGGAGTTCAAAGCTCTGCACACAGAAGTGGTCACCCTAAAAAATAACTTTAAAAGGAAGGAAGAGGGTGACAAATACTTTAAGAACTTTAAAAAGATAGGGAGCAGGGAAATGGCGTTAAAGACAAACGCTAAGGACTTTGAACTTCGTTTCCTGGGACATTGCAATACTACAACTGATATTAAAGAAGCAAGCTTTTTGGGTGAGCTGGAGAGATGTGTTTCCTCTCCGTAATTCCAAATAAAACGGAGTTTATTTTAATTTCTCAATTATTTGGTTTGTTTAGGAGAGGATGGGAATTACATTTGTTCTGGTTCGGACGACGGGATTATTTTTATATGGAATAAAAAGACGACAAACCTGGTAAACGCACTTTGGGGAGATGTCTCCATAGTCAATTGTGTCCAGCCTCATCCTAGTTCTTGTCTCATAGCTTCGAGCGGCATTGATTCTGTAGTTAAGCTATGGTCGCCATCTGGAGAGGTGATTCCCTATTTGATTTTTACTTATGTATAAGGGTTGTTTTTGTAATAATCTTTATATTAATTTTAGGATGAAGCAGAGACAAACACACGTGTCGTTAAGGATCTTTGGCTGGCAGTGGAAGCAAATCAGCAGAGGATGACCAAAGACCCTTTTGAGATAATGCTGACCAACATAGGATATCGTATGAGTCCCGCGGAGGGTCAGGGGATGCCCACCTGTCGAACCACTTAACACTAACTGCTGATAAATACTGCGAAAAAGAATATTTTTTAATTTAGTTACGTTATCCTTTTTTTATTGTTGTTATCTTCGTCAATTTCTTCACGTATTTAATAAAGACAGCAAAAAACAATAGTTTTTAGTTGCGTACCTTACAATTATTTTTATACACATAAGCAAGCATATACATATAAAAGAACATATTACCATGTTTATTTTTTCTGTTTTAGGTTTTTAAGTGCACGTTGATAATAATTATACGATACTTACTGTTGTTGCCGTCATTTTTTTTTTTCTTTTTTGAATTAGGAATCTATTAAGACTTGCGTGCCTAATGCCAGATTTCTTTTGTCTTTAATTCTTTCATTTGTTTAGAATATTTTTTCATTTCTAAAACTTTTTGATTGTGCCTCGTATTTAGTTGTAAGTTATACAGCCCGCTGTAATTAATTAATTGCTGTTTAATTAACGTCATTAGATTTAACCAATGTAAATAACGATCCTGTTGTTAACGTAAAATAATATTTAGGTAATATTTTGCTCATGTGATTTGAACTACAGTTACTGTAAATATTTCAGATTAATAAAAATTTTAAATGGGTGCTAAATACTTTTTTTGTTTATTTCTTGCCTAATAGTTCCCTTTTTTCAATTTTGAGAGGAATAATAGTAATTTATTAAGCTTTAAATTGCATACATTCATTACAAATATTCAAATTTTTTTTTTTTGTAGTTATAATTTTATTGGAGATTTTTTAAATTGTTCCTAAACATTTTTGGTATCTATCCTTACTACTTTTTTTAAATAAATTAATTAACAGAAGACTACTGTTTA